CTGCTGCTGCTGCTGCTGCTGCTGCTGCTGCTGCTGCTGCTGCTGCTGCTGCTGCTGCTTTCTCAGGCAAAGTAATATAATCCCAGGCAGATAACCTTTTGACAGTACAATCAATTCAGTCTTATGAAGTAAACTTCCTGTGTCTTGTTACTTTGTAGCACAAGTATACATCTATTGCAGAAATTCAAGTTCAAATGGAAGAGGAGTACCTGCGTTCTCCCTTGTCAGGGGTAAGTGTCCTAGGAAGGATGCCTAGTGTTGAAGAAAGGCATCTGTATGAAAAAAGAGAGTGATGGGGAAGAGAACCTCATTCTCTTATGGAATTGAACACATCACTGACACTCTTGTCTGCAGATGCTGTGTGTAACCCAGGCCCTTCATTTTTTTCCCTTTTCATGTGCTTCATCATTTATTCCTCCTCCTCCTTGAATTCATGCAGGACAGTGTGAAAAATGGCAGAAGGAGAAATGGTTAAAAAGCATTTCTCCCCCTTCCTTAAACAGGAGTTTCCACAGAGCTCAACAAAAGTAGCTGTTCCATTCCACATACAGTTGCTTGTATGTCAGGATGCTCTGAAATTGTTGTCTGCCTTTGGAAAACATTTTTGGGGTTAAAGGGATGCTTTAACAAATAACAAAGTGTTCTGAAATAACAAGATGTTCAAAATATGCAGGTTAACCTTGAATTGTGGGTGAAAAATCTGTTGTAATCATCTGCTTGTGTTAACAGGGGGAAGAGGAGGTTGAGCAAGTTCCAGCTGAAATCTTATACCAGGGTCTTCTTCCTAGCCTGCCTCAGTACATGGTGAGTTGTAGTCTCTTTGGGTGCATATTCATTCTTAAGAGGTTTCCATACCTGTTTTTTAATTATGTTGCATTCTCTCCTCATCATTTTCATGTGGCAGAAATTAGCTGCTTTCTTTAGCATTCCATTGTGCAGATTCCTCTCTTGGTACACCACAATTTTGGATTACATTTTTTATTCTCAGAGGCTTCATGTTAATTTCCTGCCATCACCTATATCTGGGAAGCCCCCTCTTACCCATGTATGCTTTAGAAAGTCTTTGATATAACATTTAACTAAACTTTGATTCATAGATTGCCTTGCTGAAGATTCTGCTGGCTGCAGCACCCACCTCCAAAGCCAAGACTGATTCCATCAACATCCTTGCAGATGTTTTGCCAGAGGAGATGCCGTAAGTCTTAGTCCTAAGCCAAAAGCAAGCAGTGCATGTAATGGATGAAGAGAGAAAATCACAAATAGATAGTGATATGATTGTCTCTGATTTAGAATTTTATTGATTTAGAACTTTGGTGCCCCTTTATAAGTAAATTCAAAATGACTTGCCAAGTGAGTCAGATATATTGAAATAATACATGCAGTAACACTACTATCCAAAAAGAACCAGATTTCAAAAAAATTAAAAGGGGGGAGGTGAAAATGTTAAATAAAACTAAAAGCTCAGTTTAAAAGGAAGTATGCCTGAAGCTTAAAATAGAGACACTAGGTGTACCTTCCTTGAATGGGAGTTCTGGTATTGTCTTACACTCTGACCAATTGTGTTTGGAAAATGATGGAATGTATAGCAGATTTCTGTTGTTGAATGCATTGGGCAGGCAGAATCATAGACAGGATCTTCATTTAACCTGGTCTCAAAAAAAGGCTTTGCAGCACCATCTGTTGCACATAGAAACAAATCTGAAGCCAGCTGAAATAGCTGAACTGAAATATAAATTAAAGTCTACTTGTGATAATGTCCTATTACATTTAACTTAGCAATCACAAAAATTAATATTGCTGCTCTGGTTTCCAGAACAACTGTGTTACAGAGTATGAAGCTGGGCGTTGATGTAAATAGGCATAAAGAGATCATTGTAAAAGCTATTTCTGCTGTGCTGCTGCTGCTGCTCAAGCATTTTAAGCTGAATCACGTATATCAAGTAAGTATATACTAGTGTGAGCCAGCATTACTGGAAATGGGATGAGGTGGTGGAAGAATTTGCTTCCCTAATACACTCTGTTTGTTTTTCTTCACTAGTTTGAATACATGGCTCAACATCTAGTGTTTGCCAACTGCATTCCACTTATATTGAAATTCTTCAATCAGAACATTATGTCATACATCACAGCAAAAAATAGGTAGGTGGGAATGATAATAGCAGATGAGTGCCCCATATTCAAAAACGCTATGTGTATGGTACTAAATATATAGCCTTTAAAAAAACAGGTCATCCACCAGGTTTTAGCTTTCAGGTAGGAGTATGCCACCGAGAAAGGCTTGCTGAAGAAATGTCTGTAGTGAATAGCTTAGAGATGTGTTGCTTGAACAAAAAATTGAGCTATGATTGAGAGAGAAATCCCATGGAAGTTATCATTACTAGTCTCTACAAATGCTGTTCATAACTGGCTGTAAGATGAGTTCATCTCTCTCTCTTTTTTTTTCTTGGCAATGTCTAATTGTCTGGGACAGGCAGAGGAGGAAACTGTATACATATCAAAGTCTCCTGATTGTTGCAGTCTGAATCATATTTCACATGTTTGTTTATTTATTAAATTTATATGCCACCCGACTTCCAGTGACTCTGAGTGGTTTCTGTTCATATTCGCTAATGAGAAATAGCTTTAGTGGAGACAGAAACTTCCTGAACAAATTCTTGGCATTGGCTATTTAAACCAGCCATTCTTGTAGATGTTACACTTGACTGGAAGAATCATCTCTTCTGATCCATCTTGGACATTCTTTTAAAAAAAACAAATAGAAAAAGCAAGTTGTAAATAAAGAGGTTTACAAGCACTTTAAAATTGACAAGAAAAAAAAAATTGTAAATCTACATATTAAAATACATTAATTTGAAAGTCAAAATCAGTGTTAAAATAAATCAATATTAAAATCAGATTATTGTACAGTAATTGACAGCTTCAATCAGTATGATTCAGTTTATAAATTATAAACTGAGAAAAATTGCAATAAGTTCTGTCTGAAAAATTTAATGAATTTATCAAATCAGGGGAAAAAAGGAAAAAGGAAAATCTAAATGTTATAGTTATGAGTTAGGAGAAACCCAACTTTTGGTGGTGGTACAAACGTATTTATAAGATTATGTGCCAAATATGGTTAGCACATTGAGTTAAATTCTATATAAGCTTTGTTTAAAAATATGAATTTAGTTTTAAGATTAATGCATACTTTACCTAATTTACCAGTCTTCTACAGAAGATATTATTTGTGCTTGCCAATAAGCACAGAATATTCTAGCAGGTATTATCATGTACCATGTACAGTACATGTACTGAACCGTGTTCAGTAGGAATAAAAGGTTTAGTAATATTTAATAAAATAAATAATGGGCTGGGAAAATCAATACTGGATAATATATCATCAGTAGAACATCTTATACCAATTTCTTTAATAATAACTGTAAAATTGATATTTTTCTTCACTTTGTTGCACACCAATTGATCTGTTCAGATTCTGCATCCATTTGATCATACAGACCTTAACTTTTCACTTTCTTAATTTTATCTCACTAGCAATTTACTTGGGCATTCTTATGTTTCAGCATTTCTGTTTTGGATTATCCATATTGTGTTGTACATGAACTACCAGAGTTGACAGCAGAGAGTTTGGTAAGCTAAACTGCCTATAATTTTACTTGGACAGGCACATGCAAAATCAGGGGATATAAATAGCATTATCAGTGCTGGTTTCTGCTAAGTCTTCTGTTCTGGTAATTTTTTTTTATTTTTTTTTTGCTTTCTCTTACAGGAAGCTGGAGACAATAATCAGTTTTGCTGGCGGAACCTATTTTCTTGCATTAATCTTCTTAGGATACTGAATAAGTTAACAAAGTGGAAACACTCTAGGACCATGGTGAGCAGGAATATTTCCATATGTTTATATCTCAGGATATAGATTTGCTGTGTATGATGCTCTGGACCAGTGTTTCTCAACCTTGGCAACTTTAAGATGTGTGGAACTCAACTCCCAGAATTCCCCAGCTGGCTGGGGAATATTAATAATATTAAATCTGTTGGGCATTTATCATAATCTTGATCCTGGGCATATAGTTGGTGATAGAGGCAATGATGTAGCCTTAGGCAACTGATCTGCTACATTACCTTTCCAGATGTTGGTGGTTTTCAAGTCTGCTCCCATTCTAAAACGAGCCCTGAAAGTGAAGCAAGCCATGATGCAACTATATGTACTGAAACTTCTCAAAGTGCAGACAAAGTACCTGGGACGTCAGTGGAGGAAAAGCAACATGAAAACTATGTCCGCAATCTACCAAAAAGTGCGACATCGGCTCAATGATGACTGGGCTTATGGCAATGGTATATATCCTGTGTCTGTCTCCTCTCATTACCCCCGTCCTCCCAGCCTCACTCTAAGCCTTTCAGGAATGCTCATTTGTTAGTGGCAGTCCATGTCCCTTAATGAGATAGCCTTCTCTTCTAAATGAACTATAATGATATATTGCCTTCTGAATGGACATGCTTTGCTAAGACAGAGTGGTTCAATAGCTTTAAATTCAGATCACCACAGCCTTGGGCAAGCTGCTATTTCTCAGTGAAAATCAATTTTGCAGCTAAGTTAGTTGTGAAGAGCAAAATTAAAGAGCCTATGTAGGTTACATTGTTATGGTTGGTCGCACAGTTAGCCAGATGTTTAGACTGGATTTAGCATTTTATATTATTATTATTGTTGTTGTTGTTGTTGTTATTATTATTATTATTGAAAAATGGCGGCATGCTACATGTGAGATGTCATAAATTGAGGAAATATATAGTGGAAAATCACATATGTGCATTTCATCCCTAGTCATATTTCTTGAGTATCTTCCATGTTGGAAGTGTTGTAAATAAATATTAGGAGCCTATATGATGGCATTTTGGAGCTCTTCTATCAATAACATTTGGTTGTGATGAGCAAGAGATTGTAAAGATGAAAAAACTTCTACATAGGCTATAGGTCTATGTTGTAAACATGTCAAGGACTCCCTGCTGTGCTGTATTGAATGTCAAATTGCATTGATGCTTTGATGGCTGGCATGCAAGACTGAAACTAATTGAAGCCTCTTAAGTGTATCCTTCATGGAAACGGGGAAAAAGCTGGAACCTCAAATTCAGAAGCACAGACCACAACAATTAGGGTTCATCAGGAGAGGAACTGGGAAAAAGTGCTATTCCGAATGGTTCATATTCTAGGAGAGATCTGTTTTCTTTGTGCAGCATATCAGCAAATAGTGTGGCTTCGTATGTGTTTTCCTTAGCCAGATAAATATGTCTCTTCCCCAGAGAACAGTATTTAATTACAGGGAACCACCTAGCACACACTGTAAAAAGCATAAATGAACGTGATTAAAGCTGCCGTTTATTTATCCATCCACAGTATTGAATGAAAAGCTTCAGCTCTGGGAAAATACAACTGTCTTTCTCTTACAGATTATTCTGAGAGAAATCCTACAGCATTCTCTCATGTCAAGCCTTTTGAGTTATACTGTCTTTGAAAGTTAAGTTTGTGTCATGCTTATTCCTGGTCCTCTTTCAGCCGAAGATTTCTCCATAGGGAGGAAGGAACAATTGCAGTAGCTTTCATTCCAGTTTCTCTAGACTTTTCCTGTTCTTTCACTCATTGTAGAGGACATAGAGAACGGTCTTGAAGGACAGGAGGAAGAGCCTCTACAAGGCAACAGATGGGAGAGCTTGAGCCCAGCCAAGAAAATAACTTGAGAAAATGTCTCAGACAAGCTCGTCCCTAGTTTATATGAAAATAAAGTTGGGTGGAGTGTGTGTGTGTGTGGGGGGGGGAGCGCATTCAGACTTGCAAAATTCTGTTACTGTAGCAGTTACAACAGTGTTTCTCAACCTTGGCAACTGGAAGATGTGTGGACTTCAACTCCCAGAATTCCCTAGCCAGTTTGAGAATGAGAATTCCCCAATGAGAATTCTGGGAATTGAAGTCCAAACATCTTAAAACTGCTGAGATTGAGAAACACTGTGTTACACTAAAAGTAGTCCTGGCCTATATGGCATTGGTTTCTTAGTCTTGTAGGGTTAACACTCACAGAATATAAGCCACATTTGACAGGCTTGTAACCCACTGGTGGATCTCAACTAGCTGTTTTGGGACAAACTCTGTTTTCTGTGATTGTGTCAATATTATTCAGTGAAAGTCTGAGTTTTCTTGATGAGCTACCTGAGCATGTCTAATGCGGCAGCGTAACTGTTCTCGGTGAATTGCATTCATTGATAGTCTGCCTCATGACTTCCACAGATCTGGATGCACGTCCATGGGACTTCCAAGCTGAAGAATGTGCTCTACGGGCCAGTATAGAACGTTTCAACTCTCGACGCTATGACCGGGCACATAGCAACCCTGATTTTCTACCCGTAGACAACTGTTTGCAAAGTGTGTTGGGCCAGCGGGTGGAATTGCCTGAAGATTTCCAAATGAATTATGACTTGTGGCTGGAAAGGGAAGTTTTTTCTAGACCGATCTGCTGGGAGGAGTTGTTGCAATGATGATTTATAAAAGGAAAATCTTTCAAGACACAGAGTTAATACATGTGCCCAAAGATAATGTTCCCGTTCTTCAGTCAACCAGGCATAGAGGAGATAAAATTGGTTTTTTGTGACTTATAACCAGCAGTTCTTCCTTTTTCCTCCAGGTGGCAGCATGTACCCGACTGGCTTTCTTACACCTTTGGGGCTGCTTCAGTTATTGATTGCTAAATAGGTACAGAGTAGTACAGCTTGAGCCCTGGGCCGGTTGTGGCAAAATATCACTATCAATGCTGATTACTGTTTACTAGACATGGCCAGCTACTTTGTTCCAAAATTACAATGGCAGCTTTTTTAGCTACGTCCACCACCCTTGTCCCAGAAGGGCAAAGTGGCATCATTTTCTTACTAGCTTCTAAGAGAGAAAGTGATTTATTAGTGGTGCAGATAGAAAGAGAAAAAGATAGAAAACTATCTAGTGCATAAGTATATAGTCTGATTAAGAGGAACAGAAACTGGAAATAGGATGTATGTATAGTAGTGCCAGAGAATTCTCAGCTTCTGGGACAAGGACGGGGGTGTAAGCGCTATAGTGTGTAAGCTCTATACCGGGCTTACCTCAGTCTTGAGAGAAGAGAAAAAGCAACTATTTTGATCATGGGCGTTGCCCCATTTTGTGTCTCTGATTGAAGTCACACTCAGTGTTATTGATATTGATAAATATTATTGAATATGAATATCCATTTTGTTCCACTGAGTAATTTTTTTTTTTTGAGAGAGAAACTATGTTGCTTTTATATTTCCTAAACATCCTTTTTCCTGTTGTAATTGTCTGAAATCCCAAGGAGTTTTAAATTAATTTTCAGCACAGGTGCCGATGCCTGTGCAGCTTCCTTAATTTGGCTCAACATGATCTATCCGGCCCCAGTTTCCTCAGTCTCCTCTTGCAGAGCCAGACAGGTCTGTCCTCTGCGGATGTTCCACTTCAACCTAATTCTTGCAAAGGGAAGCAGGTGTATTATTTCCATTGCTGTTTTGTATGACACAAGCTCTGAGTCCCTGCTAGCTGTATTGTGAATGAGATGGAAGAAAAGGCATCTACTCAAAGAAAGTGATAAAATGCATTTGTTAATAGGGTGGATGATACCTGTTTCCTAGGAGATCATATCTCCTGTGCTAATAGACTAAACAGCCATAGCTGTTGATTGGATTTGGTTATATTTATGAGCATTCAGGAGCCAGCACGTTCAGCTGATAGCACAAAATATTGCTCTCTGTGTGGCATGTTTGTTTGTTTTCTAGATTGTTTTGTAACTTGATAACAAGCTTAGATTGCAATACTAAGACAACTTACTTGGAAATAAGGCCCACTGAAATTAACGTGACTTCTAAATAAATACATTTAGGACTGGAGTTGCGTTTATATGCTACTACGAAACCAGAAGTGATCAAATGCTTTCCAATTAGCCTGGTTTACTTATACCCAAACGCTCCTGTATGGTTAACTGAGGTATGACTGAGGTTGTAGAGTGTTTCTTGGAGAAAGAACAACAGGAACCAAGGGATATTTTGTCTATTTAAGAGTAAGAATTAAGTTTAGCAAATCTTTACTTCAAGATACTTACTTTAAACAAGACGCTGCAGGGACCTAATGTAAGAATTGCGGTATAACGATAGTTGGAGATTTCCAGCTTTTTTCAGCTAAGAAGGTAGCCTTTTCCTTACCTCAGCATTGTGAATAGTGTAATGGTGATATACAATTACATGAAAAAGCAACAAACATTAAAAACAGCAAAATACCTTTTATTTTACAATCAATGTTTTCCTATATGAATTGTGGAGAATTTTTCTACACAGTGAAAACTATGGGCTTGAGAAGATGGGTAAAAGCTCTCTTTCTAATATAGGAGCAAGTTAATGAAGGCATCGTTGTTTCAAAGGTTATGCCTTTTTTGCTGCTGCACTGAAACCTTTAAAACATCAATAGGAAATCCTTCCATAGCCATCTGATGTAGAGTATAAATGTGATGATATATATTTGCTTGATGTGGGGGTGGGTGGGCATGAGATATCTGCATTTGCAAAGAACTGCTATTCATAAGGCCACCCTTGTTTCTGGCTGTTCCCCAATTGAGGGTATTAATGAAATATGTTTGGTAGAGCATACCTCTTTCCTAAGTCATCTTGGGAAGGATGGATCTACCATGCAGTCTGTTAGTATGAAAATAGGATATTTTTCCTGGTTTAGTTGTGACAGCACAAGTTATTTCTCAGGAGAAAAGTTGCTACTCCATCTGAGATGGGATAAAATTGATTTCCCCATGTTTCTTGCAGGTAAGTAATCCAGCTTCTACACATTCTTGTTTCTCTGCCTGTGTGGTCACACTTCCCATGGTGTCTTCTTTTATGCCTAAAATCCTGCAGTTTTTGCCAGAAAGAGATATGTGTCAGTTCTGGCTTTTCCTTGGTAGCCATTGGTTTCATCAAAGCAGGAAGTGAAATGAGCAGCTGGGAGGTTATTGCATCTTGACAGTTCATGCTCTTGACTTGGCTTGCTTTCCACCTAATTACATTTCTCTGCAGGTAGGTAGAGTTGGGGTGAGGGGGTGTTTATTTTTCCAGTGTTGAATGGAGATAGATGGAAATTAAATGAATATTGTAATATGGTTTCAGTAATGCTTGGTTGCAAAAGTTTTGCTACAGGAAGTTTGTGAAAAGAACAGTTCTTTGGCATTCTAATGTATTTGTTTGGTTTGGCTGTAAAAATAATTTTGTTTCATTTCTGATGTCAGCAAGCACATGACATTTTAAATCTTTTCAGTTCTGATATTAAGGGCACTTTTTAATCAGTACTTATTTATCTATGACTAGTCCTCATAGTTGATGGGGCCAGTTGGAGAACAAGCAAGCTACAGTCTTGATAGCTGATACAGTGGGGTAGGGTGGGGGAATACCTGTCTTTCTCAAGACTCCTTTTGAGAAAACTGATTTATGTGCTAACTGTGGTACCAAACAAGAAGTGGTTGTGCAATCCCTGCATTGTCCACAGTAGACCATAGTGGTTGATAATTTTGAAAGAGGTTTTTCATCAAGTAGAAGCAACTGAATTTCAGTTTATTTGCTCTTTTCCTTCTTTCTCTTAAAATAAAGCTGAACACAATAAATCATAATACATTTCTTGGGGATCTCTTACCTGAAATGGCAGATTAGCCATTTGTTTTAATTGCATAGAAGTTGAAACTCTCTTTGAATGACTTGCACTGTTTAGAAAATGAGTTTTAAACAGCCTGTATTACACCTGAGCACAAGAAAGGATTTTTTTTTTTTTACTTGAAACGAGAGGTATCTTTATAACTGTAAGAACAAACACTTCCTTTTGGAAGTGAGTCAATTTTACTGAGTAAGATTTATTGCTAGTTTTCTATAAAAAACCTGATAATCTGGATAAAAAACAGGAAAGGCCATTTCAAATGGTTTGCACCTCCTACATACTCTGTTTTCTACAGATTCTTAGTAATGATGACTTTTTGAGGCACAAATAAGCTTGTCTTATTGTAATTGGAATACAAGCATAATGAGGCTGTAATTTTGGCCTGAAGGTACTGCTCTGTCACGCAAATGAAATAGTCCTATGGTGAAATTTATCTAGCCCCACTGAGTGCAACCTTTCCTTATTTTAGCCAGAGATTCACAATCTGAGGCCCTAGATTTGCAGATAGCTTAAGAGTAGTTAAAAGTTATTACCAAAATTGTAATTTTAATGTGATGGAGGGAAAGGGGGAATATGCACAACTAAAGTTATCACAGTTTTTCTCTTGTCCCAGAGAGCAGTTGTCTGGCACACCAGTTTGTGCAGTTCCAACTTAAAGAAATCTATCTCTACGAGCCAAGCAAGGCTTTTTAGTTGTCCCACACAAGAACACAGTATGCCAATACTTAGCACAAGAGCTGGGGGAGGGGGGCACCTTACTGAGTAAGCATAACTTCCCTCAGTCTGTATGATGTGCAATAAATGCAGGGATGATTACTGGGTAAGAGGAATGAGTTGGCTCCAAAGCTAGAATTCACAATGTATATATTATATACATTACCATTCTCTCTTACCCACTCCAGTTTGGGGAAATTTCTTTGGTAACTCTTGTTATTCATTAATCACACACAGATTTGGAGTTTGGTCTTTATTCTATGTGAAGATTAGATTTATATCCAAAGAGCTGGAGTGGAACTTGTAAACATTGTGGTGGGGTGGAGTTGGTTAGAATGAGAGTTATCTGAGCCGTCCTTTCTGCATGTTGTTACTGTGTGTAGTGTAAATATCAATCATGAGAAGGCCTGCAGAATCCTTGTTCTTACAGCTAGAACCTTGAAGGAGTTCCTGTGGAAGAGACAGATTCCATAATCTGCTTCAATGTACGTTTGGTACAAGGGCAAATGACAATGTCCAGTCTCCTAAATCTGGAAGCGGGGACCTAGTTCTTGTTTCCTTAGGATAATAGATCTATACTAGTGTGGGGAGTGCTGTTTGGAGAACCCTTTTCACTTTCTTCAGAGAATCCCTTTGAACAAAAAGATTATTAAATTGACAAAGGTGTCAGTTCATGGAGAGTGGCCAGATAGCTCTGCACTTATCTCTTGAGGATGTGGGAATATTGCACACAAGGTAATATTGTGTAGGGTAAGGCTTTGGCCATGTGTGAAAAGGTTAGCCTTATCCTTGAGCCAAGTTCTTTCATTGTGTTTAAGTATACCACCATTTAGGACTGGGCTACTTGAAATCTCCAAATATTTTCTTTAATTTAGTGGAAATAGAAGGCACCTCTTTTGGTCTTTTACTTTGATTTTTATGTTATATCTCCTCCATAAAGTGTCTTGTTCACAGTAAATTATGCATAGCTTTAATATATTTTGGAAACCTCTTACTTTCCCATGTCTTTCTTGGAAACTTAGCTTCAGCCAAGGCATAATTTGTTTTTTAAAAGTGTGTCCAAATCAACCCAAGTCATTTTTTACTGAGTTTAACTAGCGTGTATGGAATCTGTATGCCAGTTGCAGAGCACTTTGCTTGAGGAAAAGCCTCTGTTTCTGCTGCCTTTAATCCTGTTTTCTCCTCTTCATCCTCCTCCTCCTCCTCCTCCTCCTCCTCCCCTTCAGCAACAGGCTCAGGTTTCAAGAACCATTTCACTAGGCAATTTGGCTTCCTAATTACAGCAATCACGGCGCCACTTTTGCTTTGGTTCTGTAATTACGCTTGCTTATTTTCAGTCCAATTGAGAGAAACAGCTGAGTAGCAAATTTCTAAAAATGTTATTTTACACCACCAATTACCAGCGGGCAAACTTAAAAAGATAACCCTAAACAGGGTTTTCTTTATAGCTATTGTGGAAAGATTTTTTTAAAAAATCAGCATTTTGTTTGCTTGGGTTAAGTGCTACAGTTGACGTCTATATTATCCCTGAACCATCCTGAATTGTTCAATTTATAAGAATATGAAAAGGAAGTGGCAACTTGAGGCTTTTTTTTTTTCGGTGCAGTTTCCCTGCTTCGTTCATAGTATTTTATGGGTGGTACCCCGCCCCCCGCATCTTTTCCTCTACTATACACATTCTGTTGAGAGTTGGCTGGACTAGAAATGGGGAGAGTGTGAGTTCTAGTCCTCCTTTATGCATGGAACTGACTGGGTGGCTTTGGGCCAGCCATTCTCAGCCTAACCCACCTCACAGGGCAAATTATGGGGCAAATAGGAAGAGGGACCATTATGTACACAGTTTTCTGTTCTAAAAAATAAAATGCAAATCAAATGAGGGTAGAACAATCCAGAATATCTTTATTGCGATTGTTGGGAGTTGGCCATCTGGAATCACTCTAGAAGGCATTCAGATACAATGCTAAACCAGGGCTGCTTCTGAACAAGCTATGGGGCTTGATGTTCACATAACTCTAACAGATTCTATGCACATTGTTTCGTGTTAAGGCAGAGGTGCATGACCTAAAGTCCCAGGGTTCCATGGGACCCCATCAATCCCTTTAAAATTGCTACTAATTTGTAAATGTTTGTGACAGAATGGGAAAATAGTTAAATACACCTAAACATGATTACTGTAATTTCAATTAAATGTAAATGAAATCAAAATTTGTCCTGGCTGCACATACTACTTCATCTTGCCTCCCTCAGTTTTTGGTGCGTGATTGAATGGTTCTTTCACTCAAAAACCAAGTCATTGTAGTATTTTTATTGGTTATGCACCCACAACTTTGTAATAGCCTCAGCTCAAAAGAAGTTGTGTACCCTGCTGTCAGCTGAATACAAACTCTGCTGATTTAGCAGTGTATAGGAGTACCTAGGGTTGGTGGTATTCCACTCATCTCTATGTAGTTAGAACTTCTCAGAACCAGAATTATGCACATACTAAATAGAGTATAGAATAGCCTGTTGCAGCCTTAGTAAATTGTGGGACAGGTGTACAGTCATAGAACCTTTAACTAGGCATTTGAATTAAACTCTTAATAGAAAGGGTTTAGAATGAGCCCCACAAACACTGTTTTGCTTCTCTGAAAATGTCAATAATGGTGGAGCTAAGGTTACATTAGGCAGTGAACCTTTGGGAACTGGAAGCAGTCTTGTACACAGACAGAGCACTGTTGCAATTATTCTGTTTTGTTTTGTTTTTGGCCCTACTCTTTTGTGCCTTTGAATAGGAAATGGGACTCTTCTCTTTCAATATAGCAGTTGGAACAGTAGGTTGAAAAAATACTGATATTTTATGACCAAATTAAAACCATTGTTTCCAGTGTAGCTTCTTGGGGAATCCATTATTTATATTCATTCATTCATTCATTCATTCATTCATTCATTCATTCATTCATTCAAAGTATTTTCCTTTTTTTTTTTTTTAAATACTTTAGCCAGGTATCAGAGGACTTCTTTTATTTTATCCTTACTAGGTTGGTTCAAATATCTTTAGTGGGGGATTAATTCATTTGGATTTTGAAAATCCAAGTAAAGTTCATGAATTCAGAAGGGAATAATCCCCCAGAATCATGACAACTAAGCAAAATCACTATCATTTGCTTTTTCTATGTCCTTTCCTGCTATTGATTTTCAGTCAAGGTCTGTCTTTTCAGCCTATCAAGCAAGGCAATGTTGATACAATGAAAAAGAAGCTTGGAGAGTGGTATTGACTCCAGATGCTTAATAAGGAGAGGATCTCTCTGGATCAGAAGGATCCAAAAGAAATGAATGTCCCTGAAAGCCAGCAAGCCTTGCTTTTTCAGGACAAAGTACTGTAAGGAGAGACAGATTATCAAACTATTCTATTGGTACTGAATCCATCCTATATCTGGTGAGATTTAAAAAATTGAGCAAATTTATCTTACAGAACCTGCAGACCTGATCACAACCTAACCCACTCAGTGTAATATGAGCTTTTCCAAGTTCTAGAGAAATATTTTGGAAGATCTGTAAGGAAGGTGGTGCAGGAAGAGCTGTAGGTAGCTGAAGAGCTTGCTAGAAGGAACTGGGCTAGGATCTTCAGAATAAAAAGAGTTACAAGAAGTCTAGCAAGTTGATTTTAGGTACCTAAGAGGAATGGTGAGTAAAGGCAAGCTTTACTTTATTATATGGAGAAGGACAGAGCCAGGACTATTGTTAGCATGAAGAACAGAGGTGTGCCATATGCATAGGTGAACTGCTTTAGCATAAAAGGGAGCTGTTTGGAGGAAGCAACATGTCTTTTGAATGCTTTGCCTCAAAGTATGTAACTTACTTATGTTTCCCCTGTCAGTAGGTGCTTCTAAGTCAATTCTTCCAAGTTTATCCTGTTGGTGATAACCTAAACAGGGATCAGCTATTATGGTGATCTCATCACATCACATAACTAACCAGACCTGAACACATGACAATATCACTAAGACCAAATAAAGTTGTTGTACCATCCTAGTGAATGAAGAACATAAAAGAAGAATTGGTTGGCTGTGTGACACCATTCTATAATGGCAGTTTAATAATTCTATATATAATGCCTCAATGTAGGAATATCTACCTTTCTTCTTTTGATCAAGAGTGCAGTGTTCATTCCCTGCTCCCATTGAACATTGTCATATATGACTGCTATAGAGAATGTACAGGCTGCAACTCCCCACTCTCTCAGCCTTCCTGGCACCCCGATGCATGCATGTGTGTGCACGTGTATGTATACATACATACACATATATACACATAAACAACTTTGAATATACATCTGGGCATGGTATCTGTCAGCAGAAGAGGGATTCTCCTCACCCCTTCCCTCCCTCCAAGACATAAAGGCTTTGTTCTTTTAAAGTAGAGTATTTCTGGGAATGAAAGATAAGGTGGGGGAAAGGAGACAAATTTCTTCAGTCAATAAAAGAAAAATGTACAAGAAGCTGAAAAAAAATTGAAAGGAAGCAGGAAACTCTAGCTTCAGCCATCAGATCATCCTAAGAAACATGAACCCAGCCTAGCTAGGAATTATGTATTAAGTTTAATTTCTATTATTCTATGTGCCGAAGTCTACTATTTTGTGTCTCATACTGATTTTCTCTATACAAGCTCAGTATATGTGTATTTTATATCACTTGGAATTTCTTTACATTGGAGGTTTCACTAATTGGAAGTGGACCAGCAATATGTTTTCCTTTATATTTTTCTACTGGAGATGATTTTAAGAAATTGCCTCTGATCGAGTAGCTCTATATTTTTTATCTCCATTCTTGAATTGTTTTATCTACTTATTTAAAATTAAAAGGGGATTTTTACCTTCTCTGTTTTCCTTTTTAAAAATAAAGCTTTAGTTTATTTAGCTCTCATGAGATTACTCAATTTCCCAAGGGGAAAGTAAAGAAGGATTGATTCTCATCAATCACCCCTTAATGATACAGAGCCAGGAGATAGTAGATAATTAATTTTTTTTCTCATTCTTTTTCTTTTTAATTTGCTAGAAAAGCAAGACAGGTTGTGGGAGCTGTATCTCATTCACATGTCAGGATTAGAGGGAGGACACCAGATGGAGCACCCCCTGCCAAAATAGGTGGTGGTAACTGTGATGACCAAACTGCTGTGCCAAAACAAAAAATATAGTGAAATGGATAGACCCAGAGGGATTCCAGGAAAGGAATTTGAGAACTCCTCCATTTCAACTTATGTTTCAGCTGTACCACTACACAGGCACATCCTAAAAAATTATAAAAGTCCATCTGAGAGAGCTGCAAAGATCCGTGTAAACATAAGGTCCTTTTTTTCAATGTTGTTCTAATAATCATGTTGCTGAAGTCAGTAAAAGTGCATAGCTCCATTTAAGCCCTTTCTCCCAAGGTGTTCATGTTACATCTGATTCAGTCCATACTTTGCATATGATCAATCCTTGGTTTAATTTTTAGCACTGCATATAAAAAATAAGTAACTTGAATACTACAGTTAAAAATTTCCAGAAATAATTCTGGAAGAGTGGGTATACTCCAGGTCCCTTCTACACTATATGTTGTCATCTTATGGGACTGAGGAAGCGTGCCTTCTCTGTTGTGGCCCCCCACTTTCTGGAACAGCATCCCCCAGAGATTTGGACAGCACCCTCTCTCCTAGGGTTCCAAAAAGCACTTAAGTCTCAGGCCTGGGGTTCATATATTTGTGGGGCCCCTCATTTGGTTTGATTCATTATTGTTTGATTGTTTTAGTCTGGGCTACCTGTGGGGTTGTTTCTTTTTAACTGTTTTCATTGTTTTGTATTTGTAAGCCGCCCAGAGTCTATGAAGTGGATGGCTATAATAAATTTAAAATAATAATAATAATAAGCTGACAACACTGCATGATATGATCATCTTTGGTCTGAGTTGATTCTGTATATCAGTACTTTTGTATAATTGTAGCCCTGTCACTTTTAAAAAAGCACACAAAACACAACCCTGTGTAAGTGTAGCTGGTTAACTTGCAGTATCACAATCAACTCTAGTGCATGTTGCTGTATTCCAGTTTTTGGTTACTTCCTTCACTTGATGTCCCAACTGGTCCTCATCGATGCCAAATGCAACCCATAGAGCTCTGGGACTCCCTTAGTCAACCAGACTGATTAGTTTGCAGTTTCCTTCCTGCTAATGGTAGGGGAAGTTCAGGAGCCTGAGCAGGATAGCAGGGAGCAAAGGAGGTGAGAGTTTTCCCCACCTACATCAACAACTCTGCTTGCAAATGAAAATACCACTTTTAATGTTTCTAGGTACACTATAGGTCAGTGCTTTGGAGCAGTCAAAGACCCTGTTGAGAAGAGCTTTAATAATGAGAACAGTAAAGTGTCTAAAGAGAGTTTCCCAAACTGTGAGATGTACCTCCCTTGAGGAGGGGAAGACAGAGTCCAGCAGAGGTGTGAAGAACCTTTGCTTTTTTATTTTTTATGTCTTTATTAAAAATAAAGTTTCATTGGATTGTTTTCTATGTTCATTTGTGTTCATTTTGGTGTTTGGATTTTTAAGGAAAGGGTTTACACTAAGATTATACTAAAGGAAGTGTGATGGCAAAAAGTTTAGGAACTTCTGGTCTAAAGTTTCCTCTTGGTGACCCTCCTTAAAAATCTCTTTGGGAGGGAAGGCATTCACTCATTCATTCATTCATTTATAGAACATATATGGCCACCAATCTCATAATGATCCTACATGGCTCACAACAATCAATAAAAACAGAAGTAAAAACAAAGATACCAGGTGACAGATCAAACAGCCTCCTGGCTCAACCCCCATCCTAGCCCAACACTTGGGAGAAGAGCCAGGCCTTTGCAGCCTTCTGAAAGGCTAAAAGGGTAGAGAGCCTTTGAATCTCTTGTGGGAGGCTATTTGAAAAGGCTGGAGTGCCTTTCATGAGCTTTACCAAGAAGGCATGCCTCTGAGGCCCCATCAGATGACAACATTTAAGGGAGGGGATCTGGAGTGCACCCACCCTATCTAACCTTTCCCTATTACCTGGCCCTGTGCCATCTAGGGCTTTAAAGGTGATAACCAGCACCTTGAATTGCATCTGGAAAGCAACTGGGAGCCAGTATGGAGGAAGAGGTTAAATGTATGTATGTGAATGAGTAAGGACAGAGAATGAATGAATGAATGAATGGAATGAATGAATGAATGAATGAATGAATGAATGAATGAATAGGTGTGCATATCTCTGCAGCTGCCCACCCTGATCATTGAAGGGACCTCTTGGGATACCAAAGTTTTCTCCCCCAACTTTAAGCAGAACCATCCAGTACTCCAATTGTTGCTGTATCCTTGGATATGCTGCAGGTAACAAAGTAAAGAAACTCTTGAGTTTAACTCCTGGTGGCTCCCTGGAAAAACAGCCATGTACTTTCCTTGGCAAGAGCATGGACATGGTTTAACCAAGGTTTACTGAATGAATAAACCATAATTGGATGGATTTTAAACACCCTAAATTGTAAACCGTCATTTACAAATAGCATTTTGGCTGAACATGTGTGACCCAGTTTGCTTTTTTAAGAGAAGATCAATGCCATGAAGGCTGATACATTTTCTAATATTACAAAGATAGCCCACTGGCTGGGGAATTCTGGGAGTTGAAATGCACACATCTTAAAGGTTGAGAAACACTGCTCTACATTATGCAGTGCACAATATGGCTGATCTAGGGAATGTCCAGACTAAAGGTGGTTGTACTACAATGCCCTAGCAGTCTTGACCAGCCTGGCCAGTAGTGCAGGTGAGCATACTAGGAATTAATGGTTCAGCCATATGGTTGGAAAGGAATTAATGGTTCAGCCATATCTGCAGGATCAGGAGCTCTTCACCTCTGTAGAATTTAATCTTCATATTACCTGAAGTAATAT